TTTTTTTTTTTTTTTGTAGATAGATGATGATTATGATGACGATGACGATCAAATGGGTGGATCGTTACAAGCGTTGCTTGATTTATTGCCATTAGCCGTACCAATTTTGGAAGATTTAAGTGACGTAAGAAAGAACCTTCAAACGATTATTTCTTTCTATAGTTAACAAAAAAAATAGAACCTTTCTCTTCTTCGTTCTCTATATGAAACGTTGATTATCATAGTATTCCTTTCTCTACAATTTTAGCCTAACTCGGAAACAGATCTGGCTGAGGTGTTGCAAGCTGCTATACCTTTGATCCAAGGATTATCCGAAGCGAGTGAAATTCATTTTTATTTATTTTTTAAAATCACGCGAGAAAAGTTTTATGATCAATTTTATTTTATTTATTTATTTTAGGGCGACGGTGAAGGTGGAGTCGATATTCCAGGAGCCCTAGTACCTATATTATTAAATCTCAGCGGAGTAAGTCGTTCGTATCAATAGTTATTAATTTAATCATATATTTATCATTAGTATCGTTTAATAACGAAAAATGAGAATCGAATTACAGGGTAAGGATGGGAAAGGAAGTGACGTAGCAGCTATAGCTGGACCACTTATTCAATTGCTAGCACCATTGATAGGACCTTTGATCGGCCCTTTAATCGGTCCTTTGAGTCGTTCGAGTAATCCAGTAAGATTACTATAATATTATAATGATATATATATTATGTTTGTTATAATTATTCATTTAAATAATTAAACAAAATATATATTTTGATTTAATGATTCTATAGCCTTATGGGCAAGGTGGTTCATCTTTATCGGCATTGGTTAAATCCGTGGCAGGTCCATTGAGTACGGTAATAACCGATCATTATAATTATATTTCATATATGTTATAAATTAATATGATATATATATATATACGTATATATTTTATATTTTTGTGGAATGTTTTTTCTCTATAGAAATATGTTTTATAAAATATTTTTGCAGCCAACCGGACCAGGAAAAATGTCACCCCTATCGAATTTAATAGCCGGGATCATTGCTAGTCTGAGCAAAGTACGCAACCCATTACCTTTTTTTTTATTTACACTAGAGAATGTTACTAATAAGAAAATTGAATGCCATTCGCTACGTACGATTAACCCAAAGACGATTTCTTTTTTTTTTACGCACGTCGCCCTGTTCCAGTAAAAGACTGCTTTGTCTTGTTTTTTTTCTCTTTTTTTTTTTAATTTATTATTTTTGTGTGTATCTAATGACGCATAGAAAACAAATTAACGTTTACGCTTATTCGTCATCTCACGTATAATAATATTATTTAAGATTGATATTTAACTCTCCTTATCTTCAATTCGTTAACGCTTATTTTTATATTCAATTAATTGTAAGCTTAGAAAATATTTGTTTTTGCGCAAAAGAAATGATGAGAATGTTGATATCGAATATAACATATTGATTCGTATATTTATAGGAAATTTCAGTTCCTGGTAAGGGTGGCTACGGTCCTGGTGGAGGTGGATTAGATTTGTCGACATTGATTAGTACAGTTGTCTCAGGTTTGCTAGCAGGTACTAGTGCTGGACTTAGTGGATCATCAAAAGGTAGTGGTTACAAAGATACTGTATATTCACCGACAAGTTATGGCGATTACGGTGGTTACGGTGGATACGGTGCTTATGGTCCAGTAAGAGAAATTTTATTTTAATTTATTTAAATATATAAACACGAGAATAACGTGAATAATTTGATAGAATATTTGATTAATTGTTCGATTAGATTCATTTTTTCATTTTCATTTCAATTTTGTTCGTAACACAAATTTGACAATGGGTACGAACAAACAATTATTTTACTCTAACGGGTGTAACGGTGAATTAAATATTTTTATTATATATAAATAACGCAGTGTGTCGAGAAAAAAAAACATTGTCCTTTTCTATTCGAATATTTAACGTAGTTTTTGTTTGAAAATTTGGAGACATTTTTGTTGAAAATATTTCCAGGCACCAGCAAACACGGTCAATCCCGTGAACCTGTTGAGTAATTCAATCAAAGGAATAATTAACGGTGCACTTCAATTAGTTGGATCACTTTTAAAAGCAGTGACAGGGGTCTTAGGTGCTTCGTCACAAGAACCAGCACCTCCTGCTTATGGTCCACCACCAGGTTATGGGCCATCTACTACAAGGGCTCCTGCTTACGCTTACAACTCGTATGTAAATGCACCAACCGGACAAACGGCACCTCCGCCACCAAGGCAAACCAGTGTGAAGAAACGTATTATTTAATCATATATAAAAATAATAATAATTATTCGTATTTTCTTTCCTTCCATCTTTTAAACGTGAGATTCGTGTGTAATCGTTTTCTTTTTTTTTTTTTTTCTTTTTTTATTTCATTCCTAGAAAACGCCCTTCGTTTAGATAAAATCGAATTTGTAATTATGAAAAAAAAAAAAAAAAAAAAAAAAAAAAAAAAGAGAAAAAAAAATATTACACAAGAAGGTAGTATATTATAGGAAAACTATAATAACGTTGACTTCGACCTGCCATTCTCTTTGCGTTATTTTTCGNTCTTTCCTTCCATCTTTTAAACGTGAGATTCGTGTGTAATCGTTTTCTTTTTTTTTTTTTTTCTTTTTTTATTTCATTCCTAGAAAACGCCCTTCCTCTTGGCAAAAGAAGGCATATAACGAGGGGGTAAAAAAAAAAAAAAAAAAAAAAAAAAAAAAAGAAAAAGTAGAGAGAAAAAAAAATATTACACAAGAAGGTAGTATATTATAGGAAAACTATAATAACGTTGACTTCGACCTGCCATTCTCTTTGCGTTATTTTTCGCCAGTCGATTATAATATATTCCAAACGAGAAATAAAACAATGCAATTATTGCGAAATGGAATCTCTTTTTTTTTAAAAACAAAAAACAAAAAAAAACTAACTGATTAAACACTGCTACTTTATATATTTATACAAACATTATATTACCAGGTATATTATTGTACACTTGTATAAATCCACTGGTATTTGTCATACTTATTGGTTATCTGATTTAATTTATAATTCAAGGATGAAAGATATTTTATCAAAGATATATTTTACTTTCACTTTGTTCCAGTTAAACGATACGTATCATTCAGTAAAGAAATTTCGTAAAGTTTGTTAAATATTTCTTTTTTTTTTTTAATCCTTTCGCGTCTTCCTCCTCTTATCTTTTTATATATATATATTTTTTTTTTCTTGTATTAATATTTAGTAAACGAAAAGAGAATGAGGAGGAGGAGGAGGTGTTGTTTTGTTAGATATAAAAATCTATAAAAATAAACGTCAATAAAAAAAAAAAAGTGATCCGATTATTAAATAGGAAAGGATTTGTTCGCGTGCGATAAATTTCAATAATTTCAGGACTTTGTACATATATGTAAGAGAGTAGTAGGTATATATGTATATATCTATCATATACGTTTATAAATATACATATATACATACATGTAAGCATGTATAACGAAGAAAACGCTTCCGGGGTAAAGGAAACCCGGAAATAATCAGATTCTAAAGGAAAAGAAGTAATAAATCGTCTCGTCCTGTTCGGCTAACATAATTTTCTTTATTCACGTAACACCGAATAAAGATTCTTGAAACGAATATTATTGTCTCCTATGTAACTCCTATGTTACGAGAATTGTATCTATGTTGTCTACTTTGTGTTGTTACATTACCTTTTTAACGTTATGCGTGTTAAGGGGAAATCATAAAGTGAAATTGATAGCCTAGTTGTCGGAATTGCGAGTTTTAGAATGAAATAGAACGAGATTATTATTATTATTATTCGCGTAACCAGGGGACTACGAGATAAATTCATTTTATTTTCTATGAATATAATGGGAAACAAGGTGGTGGTAGTGGTTCCTGTTTCTAACCGATAAGATTATCCTTGGTGACGATAACCATATTGAGAATTTCTTGCAACTTCCTAATAACATGTTTAAACATCGTTTATACGGTTATGCTAGATCGTGGTTTATATTTTTTCTTACAATTTTTTTTTCTTTTTTTTTCTTATTTTTTTTAATGTTACGATTGATAATAATCGAAGAACTCGAGCAGGAACTAAGTTAGCAAGTAGAGAAAGTGATCGAATATTTGCAACTAAGTATTATGTATGCATACCATATCCTCTATAATCCTGACTGACACACGTATATGTGTATAATACACACTTTGAATATTATTCTGATTTTTATGTATATTAGATTTATAAGTATAGAATTTATTGATGTATTTCTTCCAAAATAATATGTTCACTTATATATAATTAAAGTTTTAAAAAACTAACATTTTGTGAAAAGAAAAGGAAAAAAAAAATAACTAAATTACATATCTAAATATAAACAAATTTAAGTGAGTAGATCATAATTTAGATATTATTTTTATACGTAATAATTATAATGTAAAATAAATAGATACAAAATCATTATCTAATGAATACTTAATCGAAGTAACCGAGCATGATCGATTAACGAGAGTAATGTTGTATTTAAAATTCTTGAAAAAAATAAAATTGCAATTAGTACGTAGATATTTAAGAAGAAAAAAAAAATGTAGAAAATATTTGAATGGTAGCAAAGATAATTGACTTGATAGACATTACACGCATGATCATAGGATTGCAGGAGTGAAAGCACGTTTCATCGTTTGACCTATGAATGTATCTTACTATCGTCCGGAAGATCATTTTCTTCCGCACATTTACCATACCACCTACGTTCGATATTCTATCTACTACTACATTGAAAATGAACGTAATCGTACGCTTGGCGAACCGTGAAAGTTTCATTGTTGTTCTACTTATTGTTGTTCTATAGAAAAAGATAGAAAGAAAGAAAGATAGATAAAAAATAAAGGACAACGATAAGAAATAATAAAAATATTTAATTAATCGTAAATGATTCTTACACTCGAGGAAACATTTAAATATTTACAAAAAAATATATATTAATATTTTAAAATTATCATTAAGATAACTAATTATACTATTTAACTATCATATAAACTCTGAAATATTCTATAATTGATTTCCGATCGTTTGAAAAATGTTTTAATTATAATTAAATTTTTGCATATAACATATTTACAGATTATCAATATACAATAATCTCTATCATTGACATAGTTCAATTACGAAGGATACCTGTCGCGATTAAACTAACAACTATTTATATTTTTTTGTAATCTTGTTTATAATAAAACAACAAGCACATTAATCACAAGCGATAGCAATTATAAAATTATTTATCAATGTAATTTTTTCATTATTGAAAAACGATTCAATTATGTTGGACATTGTCACGATAGAAAACAAAAAAAATCACCTCATTTTTTTCTTTTCTTTTTTTTCTGTTCTTTTTTTTCCATAAAACATTCATTACGATAATAAAGAGACGATTGAAAAAAAATTCATCGTAAATGGAACGATTGTGAGCCTTGAATAAAATAAGGTGATGAGTACAAATTATACACTAACAATTATTTGCTATAATAATGAAAATTGTATAAGATTTGAAAAAGGATACTGTAATAAAAGAAGAAGAAGAAGAAGAAGACAAAAAATGGCATAGATCTTGATCTCTATCGCAGGGTTAAATTTACTGAAACTTGGAAATTAAATGAATAATATTAAATAAAAGTAGGTCGAGTTTGCTTACTGAACACAGAGGATTCTTTATAATATCATAAGTAGACCACTAAGATCGTAACATCTATTAATCCTTGAGTTTGCTTACCTGCTACGAGATTACTATGGATCATTCTTAAGAGATCATCGTTATATACACATAATTAAATATATACATATACTAGTTGATCACCGTGGTCTAGAATGTCTTCTTCTAACGTAAATACGAGTTTGTGTGTTCTTTAGTTGAAAAAAAAAAGAAGAAAAAAAAATTAGAAATCAAAAGAAAAGATATTACATGCACGAGCTGGCGTTTCGTAATATTTATTTTTTTATTGATTTATTTTGTACGAAAACCTTGGCGAAACCCTTACGCAAACCTTTCAGGAATGAACAGAAGATACTAAAGTAATTAAAAAAAAAAAATAAAAAATAAAGATAGAGTTAAAAAACGCGTGTCCCATTAAACTGTGTTTTAATATTATAGCTACTTTGGTTTTTTAACAATCCAATGATCAAATTGATCAACATAGGTTTGTTTTTTTAATTTTTATTTTAACCTTAATTGATGTCACACACACTCTCCGTAATAATAAAATTTAATTGATTCTTTAATTACAATTTTCAATTTTCTTTCAATAATAGTTACGTATAAATTACTTTTTTTTATTTGTTTATAACCCGTTAGGAATGTACGAAGGCTAATTTTTGTTTTTCTTTTTATAATAATTATCTAACGCGAGTTCATCGATCTCTCGAATATCGATAACATTCCTATCAGTAAGAAATTCCAATAATACATAAGTTAGTCTCTATCATCGTATAATTAATTATTATTATTATAACGAAACCGGTTTGTGTGTGCAACTAACTTGGAACATTTAGACGGAATGTAAAATAAATTTACCTAAAAAAAAAAAACGAATAGAAACGTAGAAATGAAACACATGGGAGTAAATAAATGTATCGAAGTAAAAGTCTCTCTCGCGATCTTTCATGAAATTTTTTAATCAGAATTTGTAATGTTAATATATTCAAGAACTCCCATCATTAATATATATATATATATATATCTTTTCCCATTTTTTTTAAATAATTTTAATAATTATATTAAAACGAAATCTCTATTTAAAATCAATCATAATTTTTACATATGAACACACTACTCGTGTAATTTGATTGAAAATTAATTATTCATTTTTTCCAAAGAGAAAAAATAAAAATAAAAGATTATAATCAATCACGCGTGTAAATATTTGCGTGACGAACGTCTAACGCAACTATTAACAATCTTCGATTAGTTTATAAACTCATCTCGTAAACCTTTATGAATATTGAAAAGTTATAAAAGCACGACAATAAAAACACGATAGTTTAAGTTAGACAAACAATGATGTAATAATTGCAAGATCGAACTTCGTCCTAGTAGTCAAAGATGATATGTCTGGCAATTGGTAATAAATAAAATAGGACTCTACTTTTACCTGTTTCATTTTCTATGTGTACTCGTTTGTAGATAGGTGTTACGTAAAGGACTGATTCGTCTGATCTTTTGCTCCATGACCCCTAGAAATCTCGCTTTCTAACTGCATGTCATTATAAACCAATGTGTGTGTGT